ATTCCCAGCAAAGACCAGTAGTTCATGAGGATAGTAACTGATAGGGGATCTTCCTTTCTGCCCTCTGTTCAGCTTTGGGCTCCAGTAGCCAGTTTTGAGAGACTGGAGTTATTTAGGTGAAATGATGCTATACCCTTCCTTGAGTTGTATGCTAGTGGTAGAGGGAAAGCAACTAAAAAGTTGCTAGAGAAGTTTTAAGTGACTTGCTTCTTAAGTCTGAAGGGTTATTGCAGTAGGCAGGCTCTTGTGCTGTTTTCTCTGGCCTAGAAGGGGTCATTATTACTGTCCGTGTACACCTGATATGGAAGTGCTCAGAAATGGCTTATTGGGGGATATAAACTGTTTCTTTAGGCCCCCAAAAGATTTCTTTTTTTTTCCCCTGGAGAGTGTGGTGTAGGAATGATGGGGCTGGGGGAGGGAAGTCTTGCCTTTAAAGTTGTCTTTGTCTCTCTTGAATGTTGCAGTCCCTTTCACAAAGCTTGTGCCCTGCTGCCCAGATCAAGGAGGGATTGGGGTGGGACAGGCTACAGAATCAGTGTAGTTATTTGACCAAAGTGTAGAAAACCTGATGGAAATTCAAATGTTATATTTATCACCTAGAGCAGTGTTTCTAAACCCATGGGTTGCAACCCAAAAGTGGGTGGTAAGAACATATGAGGGGGTCACGAACAAATAAAAATGGATCAACAAACTTTAAGAATGGATGGATTCTCCTTCTAAAGGAAATATGTGGGAAACGATGACTTTTCCCTTGCAGGCTGGCAGAGCTCCAGCCCGCAGGGGGCTGCTTGGGGCTGATCCTGCTTTGAGCAGGAGGTTGGATTAGATGTGACCTCCTGAGGTCTCTTCCAGCCCTCGTTGTCTATGATTGTGTGCTTCCCCCCACCTCCCTACACACACACACACGCACACTGGGGGCTGGGACAGCGGGTCAGGAGTGAGGGGCACTGGGTCGGGACTGGCCATTAATGGTTACAAACGGGTCCTGGTACAAAAAAGATTTGAGAACCACTGACCTAGAACAGCTTAAAGTCTTCAGTGAAATCTATATTAACATAGCTGTAGGAGAAGTAAAAAAAGTTCATGCTTTGGTGAGGACACCTCTAAGATGCTGTTCCCCCCAGTTCATCTAATGCAGTGGTTCTCGCCCTATTTGCCCGAGCGGTCCACACTTGCAGCTCTCAGTGTGTTCTGTGGGCTGCGCACACTCAACTTACTTCCTGTGTATCCATTTAAAAAATGTTTTGCATCTGTTATCTGACAGTAATACAATACAAATCAATGTTCTGTAATACCTCTCACTTCTACACTGTCAAATATCTTTACTTTTTCTTTTTTTTTTTTAACAGGATGTCATATGGGCTGCAGCAGTGTGCTGTGGGTTGGGAACTGCTGGTCTAATGGAACCCATATTTGTTTCTTCTAGTCGTGTCTTACTGTCCTAAAATGACACATGCAGTGTTACCAAATCTTGCAATTTAATCATGGGTCTTGTAATGCTTAGTGCTATTAAATCTCTGATTGCTATAGCCATGTATATATGAGCATCTCTGCTTTTTAAAATTTTTTTTTTAGTGTGTAACCTTTTAGTTTCATCGTGATAATGGAGAGAGAGGATTGAAAATAAATCCTGCAGGCTCAAAACCCAGAAGGCAATTAAAAAAGAAAAAGAAAGCGTTTATCATGAGTAGTCTGACTCTTGTTTTACTGCCTGTGTTGACGACACTGCTTTTAATTATGTTATGTCTAAATTTGCATATATACACTCAGTACATCAATGGTTGATTACAAACTTAAAAGTATTGTAGAGAAGTCTAAAATATTTATCTACATAATACCATGTAAAGCATAACGGTGGCAACTTAAAAAAAATATCCTGTGCACAAAATTGTATTTTATAACAAACTTTCTTCTATCGTTCCACAAACCATGAGTTTGAAAGCATTAGTAATCGAGACCGTGATGCATAATGAGTACATTTACACTAGGAAAAAACTTTACGCAAATGTGTTTTCTCCAGTTGGTGATCCCGGGAGTCCGAGCTAGTTAACTGATGAATTAAAAAGTGTGTTGCTATAAGGCTTGAGTAAACAGCAGCACTTTACTAATGTAGCAGTATCGAGATTGTGATCTGAATACATGAAAATATTAGGATAGCTAGGAAGCCAAATGTATGTGTAAACATTTTCCTAATGTATTTTGTTTTGTACAGTTGAATTTTATGCTTTAAACCATGTGCACTTTTTTTTCTTTTACAAAATTTGTAAAAAAATTGGTGCACTTGTCAAAGCACGTGATTAAATAAATCAGGAAAGTAAACGAAAGAGCTCATCATCTAGGGGCTGGGGTCAGGATACCTTTACTATGAGTCTGTTTAGTCTGGTCCTTGGGACTAGAGTTGCCTTCTCATAGTTGTTAAAGCACTGAGTTTGCTTATCCTTCAGTGAATAGTATAAAGTCTCTGTTTGCTCAGACATTTACCAAGGTCCTGAAAATTTGGGGTATATTTTCATAGTTGAAAAAACAAAACAACCCTAGAGTTTGAACTTAACTTTAACATTTGCAAATAGATGTATGGCATGGGGAAATGTGTAGTAGGCACTTAATAGTTAGAAAAGAGAGTTAATGCTGCTTGTGTGACAACGATACACTAGGCCAGTGGTGCCTGACCTCTTTGGCCTGTAGGCCAGATGAGCGGTCCCAGATCTCTGTGGACCCAATCTGGTGTATAGTGCTGGCCCATCCAGAGGCCGATTTCACCTACATGGGAAGGTCCTGCCTTCAGGACGTAATATGGCTGGGCCATTTCCATGTGGCTGCCTTGGGCCTTGCTTGATTCACATGAATACCAGCTCCACGGGCTTGGAAATTTGGTGGTGGAGTGGTGGCGGCAGTAGTAATTGCCACCACTTTCCCACTGCCAAATTCCTAGACCTGTGGGGAGACCTGCAGGCCGCAGGTGGCCCATGGGCTGGGAGTTAAGCACGCCTGCGTTAAGCTAATTTTGAGTAAGGGGTCCTTCCAAACTGGAACAAATACATAAAAGTCTGGGATAGGCTACATCTGCTGTACAATCAATGGGTGCATCTACATGTGCCATTAAAGTGATGCGATAAACTCCAGTGCAGTTTGTGCCAGAGTTTATCACAGCGCCTTAATGGCACTTGTAGATGCTCAAACTGCTGTGGCCCAGCGCACACATGCAAGTGCTGTGCAGTTTGAATCAGGGTGGAGCAGTCTTGGGCTGGCAGGTGTCCTAGGGGTCATCCCCAGGCTCCAGTAGGCATCATCTGACAGCAGAGGGGCTGGCTGGGGCACGAGAGCGCCCCAGCTTGCCGAGTTCTGTGGCTAGGTGGCAGACGGGGGTCTGGCCCCCTGCTACCTGGGCTGACCAGGCACAATGTCAGCGTTTATACATGTTTAGGTTAGAGGTGCACTGATACATCGGTCCAATATTGGATTGGCACTGATATAAAGAAAATTGATTGCATAGGAAATCGGCCTGATGTAGCCAATAACTTGCTGATAAATGCTTGTGCACGCATGCAGCCGCGGCATGGCACGCAGGTGGCAAGGAGCACAGCCCGGCAGCTTGGAGAGCTGCGTGCAGCTGGTAAATCTGTTGTGGTGGAAGGGGAGTGGGGAGGGAAGGAGTGTGGGGGGTCAAATCAAGGCCCCCTGTGGGGAAGGAGGGAGTGGGGCTTGAGCTGGGGAGAGGGCTGGGGCAGACGTTGCCCTGCCTTGCGCGGGATGGAGCCTTGGCTCATGCAGGGAGGGGGGAGTGGCTCCTGCCGCTGTGTGCACCCTGGGAGGGCACACGAGGGTTGTGCCCCCAGATCTCTGCGGCAGGGGGGTGGGGCTGCACTGAGCTTTTCCCAGCGCGTGGTGGGGGGTGGGCTACACTTAAAGAAAGTGGTGGTGGTGGTGGCATGGGAGGACGGGTTGCAGGGGGCTATGGTGAAATTTGGGGTGGCTGCAGCCTACTCCCAGCACTGCTGTCGCCCACCCCAAGCCCAGCCCAGCAGGGCACCAACTGGCAGCTTCAGCTGGCCCTGTCCTGCCCCATGTGGATCTGGGGGCATGCCCACCCCCACCCTGTGTGCTTCTGGGGTGTGCGCAGCAGCAGGAGCTGCACCCCCCGTTCCCTGCCCCGTCCAGCCCCAGCTGGGCAGCACCTGCCCCAATCCAAGTCCTACTCCCTCCCTCACCATGGGGGGGCCTTGCTTTGCCCCCCATGCTCCTTCCTTCCCCCCTCCCCTTCCACCACAACAGACTTACCAGCTGCACACAGCTGTATTGGATATTGGATTGGTATCTGCTTCCTTAAAAATCGGCTACTAGTACTGGTCCCCAAAATCTCTATCAGTGCACCCTTAGTTTAGGTGATGTTCTTTTCACTGCCATAATATAATACTGTCCCCAACAGTACTGTCTTACATTGGCAAAAAATAGTTTGCTGCAGTCTAATAGTGTTGCATGTAAAGGCTGTGATGCTTTACACTGCAGCAAATTAGTCTACTGCTCAGTTAAGCACGTGTGTAGATGCACCCAGTGTTTACGTAACAAGACTTGAGGCCTTCTCTTAAATGTTGGCTTATACTGCTTTGGCTCTCACCTTCCATTCCTGTTACATTTTGTAATCAGCCTTGATCTCCTAAGGTTTGCCAAGGGAATGTTCATCTTGGGCTACAAACTTTTAATGCTTTGTAGCCTCCTGTTGACTCTTTGCTGCTGTTCAGGTTACAATTGATGATAACAGTAATATGTTACTAGAAAACTTCTTGCTAAAAAATATTCATTGTTTTTCCTCCCTACTATTTCTACTAGAATGTTACTGTTTTTTAAAACATTGCTTAAAAAAGGGTAAAATTAAAAACAGAATTGTAGACTTAATTGAAGGAATTAATATTTTCATCCCACTGGTTTTCGAATATGTACATAACTGCTGTGTCGGGAGTATGATACATCTGTGTAATGTTAAAACATCTGCTTTTGTTTAGGAAGTCTGAGAGCACCTTCCTTCTGACAGACATGACGCACACAGGTCCAGAAAACTCAGAGGCTTGTGCCACTCCAGACACCGACCATGACCAAGAGTTGGCTCAAGAGTGCCACAGACTGAAAACTTTTGTCAGCTTTCCAAGTGGCTGTCCGGTCTCTGCATCAACACTAGCACGTGCTGGTTTCTTTTACACGGGAGAGGGAGACAAAGTGAAGTGTTTCAGTTGTCAGGCAACTGTTGAAGGATGGGAGCATGGAGACTCGGCAGTAGGGAGACACAAAAATATTTCCTCAGACTGCAACTTTCTTACTGGATTTAACTGTTTGAAAAATGATATGCATCCTATCCTCCAAAACTGCCAGCTCAGAATTGAAAATTGTTCTGGAAATTCAAGCCTTCAACATGCTTTTGACAGTTCATCTGACCTAAGAGCAGATTATCTTCTGAGAACAGGGCAGGTTGTGGACATGTCAGATGCCTTGTACCCTAGAAACCCTGCTATGTGCAGTGAAGAAGCTAGGTTAAGGTCTTTTCACAACTGGCCAAACTACGTACCATTAACACCAAAGGAATTAGCCAGTGCTGGGATGTATTATTCAGGTATTGATGATCAAGTGGAATGCTTTTGTTGTGGTGGAAAATTGAAAAATTGGGAACCTCGTGATCGAGCTTTGTCAGAGCACAAGAGGCATTTTCCCCGGTGCTTCTTTGTCTTGGGCCACGATGTTGGAAACATCCCAAGTGAATCTAATTGTGCTGAGGTCAGCAGGGATAGTTTATATGATGCAGAGCATCCAAGGAATCCCTCTATGGCAGAATACGATGTGCGGCTCAGGACATTTTCGAATTGGCGATACCCAGCTAACAAGGAGCAACTTGCCAAAGCTGGATTCTATAGCATAGGTAAGCCAGACCTCGAGCTTAATTGTGATGCACGATTTCATCAGAATCTCCATTAATTTAATGGAGAACGGCTTGCCAGAAATAATGTTTTGCTTGAGACTTAAAGTAAATGAACAAATCTAATCTTTTAGTTTACATTGCATTTCTATGTTATTAAATGATTCAATATGCTTGCCAAGTTTATAAAATATGAATCATCATCTTCGACAATAATAACATTTGAATCTTAATTAGAAATTCCTTCCTAGCAATAGTATGTTAAAGAAAGGGAGGGTTTTAGAATGAAAGATTCTTTATTTTGTAAGCCCTTCTTAAGATGTATAGCTACTCAAGTTTCCATCTTGAAAAATACCTTGAGAGACAATTATATTGTTTCGCGTTACAAAGAATGAAACACTGTCTTACAGGTGTCATTTGTTGGCTTAAAGGGAAGGACAATATGTTTCTGGTTCACATGCAGGATTTGAAATCAGGCAGTCTGTGCTCCGCTCTTCTGTTTTCACTCCTTTGTGTGTTTTCATAGTGGCAGCACTGAGCAGCCCCAGTCGGATCAGAAGCCCACTGTGCTACAGGATTTACAAATATCCTTCTGAGGACTGGGTCTTCACGCCCCAGAGCCTTCAGTCTCACACATGCAGGGTGCATCTTTTTGTGAATAATTTTTTCTACCTATAAAATGGGAATAAATTAACCGATGGGCTTAATTTGATATTTTGAAAGCATTTTGACATTTATATCAGAAACATAGCGTGCAAGTGCCAAATAATACTTACTATTGATTTACAAGGAAAAGGTGATTTTTTTCCAGGATAATTTCTAGGTGTCACCTTCACTAGCTGTTTTTTTCATGGTTCTTAAAGATTTTCTGTTCCATGTTTTCTTCCTCTCTCTCCCTGGCCCCCAAGTAAAAAGTATGATCCTGTCTAGCATGTCTGACATACAAACATGTTACCACCAGCTATGCAGACTTTAATATTGCCTGTATTATCTCAGGATTCTCAATAAAGTTTAGCTCCTCCAAAGCAAAGTGAGATCTGCAGAAAATGGGTAGCTTATCAGGCCATCTGGTTGTTGAGTAATTCCAGGAGGACCATGTAGTTCCTGTAGGCTGAGAAGGGTTTAGTTTCTGTGGAAGAAATCTATCCATGTCATGTCATTGCAATTAACTTAATATATTAGCAGTTTCTAATTGCATCTTTATAATATCCAGTGCAGTAGAGCTGTGACAATTTAATTTCCTTCCTTTCCTCCTTTAGTTCTAAACAGTGGTGACATGAGAGATTATTAGTCTGGACTAGTGAAAATTATGACCAAAAAGGTCTCTTTGAACAAGCATTCTCTTATTTCCACTCATTTTAAGGGGATACTGAGACGTGATACAGAATACAGAGAAGACAAAGGAAATAATGTCAAATCCTTTTCCCCTAAAATTTTGTGATGCTGTTTTTATGCCTTATTAGTTGAGCACTGAAAGAATTTTGTAATAGGTTTATTAGTAGTATTTCTGAAATATGTAACTGCCAGATAACATTGGATGAGGAAGCATTTCTGTGTAACTTTGGGTTTGTAGGGTTTTTTTTAGTGTAAGTCAGGGATAGGGAACCCCCCCCTCCCCCGGGACACATGCCAATTAGTGGCACATGGAGATATTTTCCTTGGCATGCCAGGTGGTGTGCGAGGAAATTGTTTTAAAAAGTTTTATTTTAAGTTGCTACTCTGGGCTCTCTGGAGCAGCCACAGGTCCCAGTGCCACAGCAGGCACTGGGGGACAGAGGCAGGGACTGTCTGCTGCTGTGCCCCCCAGCCTGGCCCAGCCCCGGGAGAGGACCTGCGGGTGGGTGAAGCTGGGGCCCATGCAGGTGCTGCGAGGACCGCTGTGCTGGAGGCTCCTGGCTAGCTCAGCCCCAAGTGCTGCCCAAGGTGGCTTTTCCTGGGGCCCAGGCTCCTGCATCGGGGTGACTCCACCCCACTCTCGCTATGCCTGGCATGCAGGGAGGTGGAGCTGGGAGCTCCCTGAGCTCCATGTGCTGCCCCAGCTAGGCAGCATCCCCTTGTAGGCAGGACAGTTGCGATCCATCCCTGTGGAGCTGCGCGGGCCGAGCCAGGCCCTGTTTTGGGTGCCACTGGGTGCCCCAGCCCACTCACCTGCCGTGGCCTGAGTCTGCGGAGCCCTGGGGCACCCCTGCTTCCCACCTGGGCCCTGCTCTCCTCTGCATCCTGCCTTCCCAAGAGCCCAGCCAGGCTGGTCCGCTCACGGCACCTCCCCCTGTGCCTGCTTTTCCCCATGCCACCCAGACCCTGCTCTGAGCACCTGGCCCCAGCGCTTGGTGCCCCAGTGCTGCCCCCACCTGTGTGGGATGGGCATCAGTCTGCCCAAGCCCTGGCTTTGCCCCCACTTCCAGCCCTGGGCTCAGGCTCTCCCCTCTCCGGGACCATCGGGGAGGCCTGAGAGCCCTGGGCCTGGTGGCTGCTGCTGGGGTGTCACTGTCTTCCTTTGCTGAACGCTGCCTTGGACCAACCGGCCTGAGCTGCAGTGGGTCGTGGTGCGAGAGGTGGGCAGGAAGGGCCCGCCCTCTTTCTCCCCTTCCTTTTTTTCCTCTCTTCTCTTTCTTTTGCTTTTCTGTTTTTCTTCTCTTCTCTCTCTCTTTTCCCCTCCTTTCTTTTCTCTTTCTCTCTCTCCTCTTTTTCTCTTCTTTCTTCTCTCTTTCTTTCCTTTTTTTCTTGTTTTCTTTCTTTACTTCTCACTCTCTTTTTTGTGTCTCCTCTCATTTTTCTCTTTCTTTCTCTTCTTTTTCTCTTTTCTCTCTCTCTCTTTCTCTCTCCACTTTTTGTCGTCTTTCTCTTTTTTTTCCTCTCATCACAACATGCTTAACAAAAAAAGAATACATAGGAATAAAGGTATTATATGAAGTTTTATTTCTTGTCACCAGGTTTAGCATTTTTAGAAAACCCAGTATTTACTGTAAAACAAACCAAACAAACCCCCCATTTTTTATTATTAACTATATTAATATGCAGTGCAATGTACCCCCCGTCCCAGTTTTGTTTTTCTGGCATGCTGGGACTCTAGCACCTTACAAGGTAGACATTGTGGTTTTTCAGCACTCCGGCCAAAAACGTTTCCAACCCCTGGTGTAAGTATTTTTTTTTCTGGACGTATGCCTTACTACTTTTCATAATACTACTGTACTTACCTGACTCCAAGACCACTTTGAATTTAAGACGATGCCCTAATAATCAGACTCCAGATATGGAAAATAAATAGATTTGTTATATCTTTCCATATCTACAAGGTAATTATTGGAGTGCTGTCTTAAATTTGTTCCTCTCCTGCTGTGGGAAAGGGAGTGGCAGGGGGGCAGATGATGAGGAACTCGAGTGGTCTGATCTCTGCTCCTTGCCTCACTGCTACCTGTATGCCCCAACACCCCCCTTCCCTCCACAATGCCTGCTCCCACTGCTGTCTGCATGCCCCAGTGCCTCCCCCTCCCACAGTGTCTGCTGCTACCACTGCCTGTGTGCCCGAGCAGCTGCTGCTCTGCCACTTCCCTCCCTCTTCTGCCCGCCTCCCCCATGCCTGCAACCCCCGGCACATGTCCTCCCCCAGCCTCTGTCCCTCACCACCTCTGTTCCTTCTCCCTCCTTCCACCCTTTATCTTCCATCTCCAGCACTGCTCCAGCCCTGTTCCTGGCAGAGGCATGGAGAACATGGTTGCTCTGACCTCTGCCTGGCCTCTGGGGTCAGAGCCTGGGTTGGAGGTGCTGCTACCAGGCTGGGCTTGGCCGGAGCAACCCTGTGCTCCATGCCGCAGGCTAGAACAGGCCAGACCCCTGCCTGAGCCATAGTAAGCGATGGGGGCAGGTGTAGCTGTGACTGATCCTGACTGGAGTTGGAGCTGAAGCAAATGCCTTGCACTTGGATCCAAGACCCTAGTTGAATAGAAATGTTGAATGAGGGCAAAAACCTCAACTTGTATTTGAGTAAATGCAGTATCTGCAGAATCTCTTTTTCTCCTTAAATGCTCACTAGTTATTTGATACAATTTTGCTTCTTTTTTCTGTAATAGAAGCTTTTTACTGAAGACTTATTGATCAGTTCAGGGCCAGTTTATTTTACAAGCATACATCTCTCATTCACATGTTTCCTTAGGTAATGGAGATAGTGTCAAATGCTTTCATTGTGGTGAGGGACTGCAGGAGTGGAAGGAGGATGAAGATCCTTGGGAGCAACATGCTAAATGGTTTCCAGGGTAAGGTACTTTTTACTGTCTTGCTGCATGCACTTGACTCCTGTTTGCAGCATAGGCTACATACACATCAAGGGAGAGTGTATCAGATAGAACCACAAACACTCAATTTGACTAAATTTCCATGGGTTGATATGCCTTTGTCCTATCCTCCTTCAGCATCTGCCCTAGTTTGTCATGGTGGGCAAGTGCACTTCTTGGCACTAGCGCTCTCCCTTCCTAGCTTTGTTTTCTTCTCTGCCTTAGGAAGCAAGGCCTTCAAGGAACATTTCACTGGGAGGCTCGCACCCTCACTCTCCCTGCAATACACTTCTGTAAAGCTGTCTGTGATGTCTACCTGCACTAGATACATCTTGGTTATTATGTAAGAAATGAATGAGCCACCACTTGGAAGCCCAAAGGGGGGATGGAAACTGCTCTGCATGTAGCACAGTTACCTTGGGCATTTTTACATGTGCTCTTGGAGTCGGGGGCGGGGGTGGTCACTTCAATTAGAGCAGCTTTCAAAGCTAATTAAAGTTCCCGGACCATCTTGTGTATCAGCGTCCCTGTGCTTCAAAATGGCAGTGTGGGGGCACTTTATCTAAAGTTAGTCGGATGAAGCGCCCCTCTTGCCATTTCGGAGATGCTGGTGCACAAGACGCAGAGGCTGGCTGGAGCGTGGTAAATGCAGGGTGTCATAGCCACCTCCCAGGTCGTGTGCAGGCAGGCACCCATTGTACTTGTTTTTCAAAAATGAATTGCGGTTTTGGATGTCTTCAGTTTTGGTTAATGAACACTTTACCTCAAAGGGGGATACTAGTACGTTTTGTTTCCTTTCTGGATCGCCAGCTCCTTTGAAGTGTCTCAAGTTGGGCACTTTAAAATTGTTCGCCAGTTAGTCCAAAAAAGATAGAATTTAATCCTCTTTCCAGATTTTTCTGAGCAAGTACCTGGGTATAGCTTCT